CACAACACTAAACCTACCCATCGCGTAGCATATACACGCCAAAGTCCATTTTTGCATATCAATACCACGAGTTTTCGTTTTTATTTGGCGTACTATTTATACGCACTTTCATGACATCGGGTTGGAAAATCATAACAAGCGATGTCTGACTTTGGAAACTATAATTCTATCATTAAATATGAAGAGGTCAAACAACAGATGAATGAGTTACTCCAAATTTCACAAAAAGCTTCTGGACGTGATTATAATATATAAGTCAGACATTGAAGTGAGTTGCTGTTTTTGTCTCTTCTGAGGAAGATGAATTCACTTGTTTGTCAATGAACCACACAGAGAAACTGATCAGATTAAAAAAAAAATTAAAAAAAATGCATTTTTAAATTCAGTTTTAAATACGTTTTCTTTGGATTGTTTCACTCAAAAGAGAATTATAAGAAAATATAACTTCATTAATTTGTTTCCTGCTAGCTAAATTTCACAAACATAAATAAATCTGGCTCTAAACCTCTCTTTTCTTTATTCAGAGTTGATCTAGACGAGTACTACATGGAAACTATCCAAAGTTCAGTTCATCCTAAAGCAGTGAAAACTGCATCTATATTCATTCTGTGTGTCCTCTTAAGATGTAAATTTATTTATTTATTTAACTGGCAACACAACCCTTACGAAAATTAACCAATGGTTGTACTCCAAAGGAAAAAAAAACACACTACACTAACCATAGTTTAACCATGGTATTTGTAGTAAAACTGTGGTTTTACAAAAAAAGCATGGTTACTACACTTTTACTATAGTAAAACCACGGTTAAAAAAAAGAAATCGGAAAAAAAAAGATTTGTGAACCTGAATGTCTGGACACTCAATTGAATCGGTTCATCTGCTCCTCTTTTCTCGTCTTCACTCATGTTTACACGACACTGTCAGCTCTACTACTGGCTCAGCTCGCTAGTTTATGACATTAACCGAAATAAATGAAAAAAGAGTGATGTTTACAAATAAAATTATCCATATTTCCATTCCAAAGATCCAACACAAATCCAGAACATATTCAGAACAGTCTATATAGAGTGATATTGTCACGAATCCGGTCCATGAACTTCCGTCTGCTAGCCATCAGAGGTCACCCTTTCCATTTTTCATTGACTCTCGCACTACACACTATTGCAGATCACCCCGGACTACATATCCCATCATTCATTGCACTGATTGCGCACAGCACTGATTGCACACAGCTGTTTCACTAATTGCACACAGCACTGACTGCACACAGCTGTTTCATATCACTCACTCACTATTTAACACTCACTCTGATCCCTTCCCGGCGCCGAGTATTGTTTAGCACTTATCAGTTGATAGCTACACTACAGAGCCCTCGTTAGCCTCCTAGCCTAGCCTAGCCTAGCCTAGTCTTGCCTTGCCTGTTTTCTAGGTTTCTGATCTTCGCCTGTTTTCCTGGATTTACCCCTTTAGTCTTGCCCCTTTTGACTCTGTTCGCCGTTCGTTGACCTTCGCTAGCCCTAGGATTATTCTTGTGTCTTGCCCGCCATATTCCTGTTTGCCCTTGTTCGACCCTGCCTGTGTTTCTGACCTCTCTGCTTAATAAAGCCTGCACATGGATCCGCATGTCTCATGTCTTGTCAGCCCTGTTACAGATATCAATGTAAAAAGAGCAAACAGGAGAAGCAGTTGAATACAAAACACATACACATACAGTACATATATATTCACACACATACACATATATTTAATTTTTTGATCAAAATTATTGCAATGAACAATTTAGTAGTTGCTGGATATTGATGTCATAGCATCCCTACTAAATTCTACACCCTTGCCTATTATTCACTTTGTTATCTTTCATTTTTAATTTTTACTTCTTTGGTATTGTCCTATGTTTTTTAAATATAATTTTTTTAGGCCTATATTCTTTCATGCATCTGGACACGTTAGTGGGAAAATGTCCAAACATCAAACAAATAAAGAAAATAATCAAACGGGTGAGTATATTTGCATAAAATGTACACTCTAAAAAATGCTGGGCTGTTTCAACCCAACTTTGGGTCAAATACGGACTAACCCAACTTTTGGGTTAAAAATTTAATTAAAAAATGTAACCCAACGGTTGGGTTAGTCCATATTTGACCCAAAGTTGGGCTGAAATATTTCTGGTAAACATACAGCTCTTAATTTTATTTATTTATTTTATTTTGATTTTCTCGTTTTGTCTCAGAGTTGAGAGCAGTGTTGATTGGAAGGCAACACTGTGGGAAAACATCGGTGATCAACACTATATTGGAAACCAGTGAAACAGAAGCTGAAGGAGATGAACATGTGAAGAGAGAGGGATTTATTGACGGCAGGAGAGTCAGTCTGGTGGAAACTTCTGGCTGGTGGAAAACCTTCAATCTGAATGATTTATCCAACATCTCCAAACAGCAGCTGGTCCGCAGGATTTCCATGATTTCACCCGGACCTCACGCCGCTCTGATCGTAATTCGGGCAGATTCAGCCTTTACCGACCCTGATGGGAGGTTTCTGGAGGAGTATGTGGAGCTGCTGGGTCTGAATGTCTGGACTCACACCCTCGTCATCTTCACAAGAGGAGATTTAATCAAACATGAAGACATAGAGCAGCGTATTCGGGAAGAGGGGTCGGCGCTCAAACAGCTTATTGAAAAATGTGAACTTAAATATCACATTTTGAATAACTCAAACCATCACGACCGAACTCAGGTCAAAGAGCTGTTCAAGAAAATCGAAGGAATTGTCCAGAGGAGTAACGGCAGGCACTTTAACATTGACCTTGAAAAAGTAAAGGAAGTCAATGAGCAGTGGGAGGAAATTAAGACCAGAGCGAGTTCTAGAAAATCCAGAGTACAGAAGGAACGGTCAAAAGTTCAAGAAAACGGTAAGCTGAAGGTGCGGTTACAGTAGGGGTGTGCGATATGACGATTTTTGATCGTGGATGATTAAAACGTCTTCACGATCTGCTTTTGACGAAATGTTGTAGTGTTAAGCCACACAACGCCACATACATTCACATCAAATGTTACTCAGCGTTCACGGGACGCTGCACTTGATTACTGCGCCAAACAAGTGACCTTTCACATCTGATTGCTCTAATACTGTAAAGTCGTGTTATTTATACGCAGACTGATGAGAACGGGTTGCAGAAACACACAAGGTACATATAAACACAGTTGGTTATGTCTAAAGTGAAAGTGAACAGTTGAGAGACAAACGGATGTGTGCAGCTCTTAAAGTGACAGCTGACTAATAGTAGCTACTAAACATGCTGTCGCTTGTCATTAAAGGAATAGTTCATCCGAAAATTAACATTCTGTCATTATTTACCAGTGTTGGGGGTAACGCATTACAAGTAACGCGAGTTACGTAATCAGATTACTTTTTTCAAGTAACTAGTAAAGTAACGCATTACTTTTTAATTTACAAGAGAATATCTGAGTTACTTTTTCAAATAAGTAACGCAAGTGACTTTTTTTCCCCCAATTTATTGATTGACAGCTCTCCTGTCCCCATGGTGAAAGAAATCAGATGTTATTGTAGTTCTAAAATAAATATGAATATGCATTCGTTCATCTCACTCACAAAAAACAAAAAACAAAACCACAGATTCAGCATTCCTCAAAATGAATAAAAATAATGCAACTCAGAATATGACGCAAACCTGCAATAATTAAATGTTAAACAACACAAATATGCTTTATGTATTTAATACCATTCTATTAACCAATGTCTTTGCTTCTGACCTTCGATGATCCAGTTCAACCGCACTAATAAGCACAAATTACTCTAGACGAACATTTGTGTCTTTGTTTATTGCTGAAGTGTGTTGAAATGTCTTCTTCTGCGTTCTACTGTACGGACGTAAATTTACTTTCCCTTCAGCCTGAGGCTTATTCATTTCACTTTTGGTGTGAAAAGGCTTTTATATTTGCCAAAAATATAACTTTTTTATTTTAAAAACAAACAAGCAAGCCCTGTCCAGATTTAAAAAGTAACGCAAAAGTAACGTAACGCATTACTTTCCATAAAAAGTAACTAAGTAACGTAATTAGTTACTTTTTCATGGAGTAACGCAATATTGTAATGCATTACTTTTAAAAGTAACTTTCCCCAACACCTGTATTAATTTCTTTCTTGTGCTGAACACAAAAGAAGATATTTTAAAGAATGTGGGTAACCAAATAGTTGCTGGTGCCTATTGACTTTGATAGTAGGAAAAAAATGCTATGGAAGTCACTGGTGACCAGCAGTTACCCACATTCTTCAAAATATCTTCTTTTGTGTTCAACAGAAGAAAGAAACTCATTCAGGTTTCTTTACCATTTTTGGGTATGGTGGGAATCGAATACTTGTAAAATTTAAATTTCAATTCCACCTATCGATTCCTGTGTGCACATCTCACAAAAATTTTACATTTTACATTATTTTTGGCTTGAAAACCAAAAACCTAATTTATGTAAGAACATAAAACATTATCGCAGAACGTTATTACCCAGATTGCACAGGTACGTCTTTAAGATGTCTGCTAAAGAGCGCTTGGTCTGGGAAACATCTGTAAAAACATCTGATAAATGTCTTAGAAAGAGCAGATGTACATTCATTCTAAATCATAAAAATCTTCAAGACATTTTCTAAACATCTACTTACCATCTGATAGGAAACGTCTTAGAGGCATATTGCAGATGAGCAAACACTCTAAAAAAATACATCTTGCAGACATTAAATAGATGTGATGTATCAGGGTATGTGCTCTCAGGATAGTGAACCATCCAAAACACAAACTACAAATCATCATCACTTACATATCAAAGCAACGTAAGTCAGTAGCTTACATGAAGTGCGTGTCCATCAAAACTTTACTAGTTTGCTTTATTCAGCCCCTATACAGTCCAATCCTGACTTTGCAGTGGCTCGTTTAGGGAAATCGCCCATTTTAGACAAGATTTGAAGACGCTGTTTTCCTTTCCCAAGACATTTTTCTGATTTACATATTTAAAACTATTTTATTTGTAGTTTCGAATGGCCCTATAGCGCCCTCTATTGACCAGCCGCCTCTGCACTGCGCTACTTTTTTATTGTTTTTCTGTGTAAACGCGTGATGGAAATCTTTGACCACTGAACTCGTGCCTTTTGTAAATGTCGATATATGCATATTTTAAAATAAAAATATTATTTGTAAATAGCTCAAATGGATGATTACGCCTTGCTATTTTACAGTTCTTCTTTCTTTATATATATTCTCTTAAAGGGATAGTTCATCCAAAAATTAAAATTTGATGTTTATCTGCTTACCCCCAAGGCATCCAAGATGTAGGTGACTTTGTTTCTTCAGTAGAACACAAATTATGATTTTTAACTCCAACCGTTGCAGTCTATCAGTCGTATAATGCATGGCAATAGTAACAAAATCTATGAGAGTAAAAAAAACATGCACAGACAAATCCAAATTAAACCCTGCGGCTCGTGATGACACATTGATGTCCTAAGACACGAAACGATCGGTTTGTGCCAGAAACCGAACAGTATTTATATAATTTTTTACCTCTAATACACCACTATGTCCAACTGTCTTTGGGCGC